GCTCTCCGGCCCGGTTCACCAGGTCGCGCCCTTCCAGTTCCTGTATCACCGTCAGCCCCGTTCGGCAGGCAATGGGGTTGCCGCCGAAGGTCGTGCCGTGACTGCCGGGCTGGATCAGCTCGGCGGCCGCGCCGCGCGCCAGGCAGGCGCCGATCGGCATGCCGTTGCCCAGGACGTGCGGTGCGGCGGCGCGCAGGTCGTACGCGGGCTCGCACGCGGCGCGCGACGCGACGGGTATGTCGACGTAGTGCGGCGAGCAGTGCGGCGGCAGCGACCGTGGCGCGCGGGCCGTGGATGGCGTTCGGGCCGGACTGGATGGCGGCCCAGCGAGCCGCGGCCGGGCGGCGGTGGGCCACGGAGAGCCGCCAGTGCGCGGACAGGCGGACGGTGGAGCCGCGGAAGACGGGGGCCGAGGGGAGCGAGACGTCCTACAGGGCGACGAGGAAGGGCAGGGCGGAGAGTTGACCTTTTAGCACGCGCGGGGCGAGGAGAAGCGGCGGGCACGCAGTGTGTGTGTGGCGGGAAGCAGGGGCGAGACGAGGACAACAAATCGTGGCGAGGGTTGCGCACCGTTCGCGGACATGTTGCATTTAAGAACTGATCCCTCTACTACTGTACTACAGTACAGTCCATACCGCATATACGTACACAGAGGAGGGGATATCCCCTTATATAGAGCCGACGACGAGTAAAGGATGAGGGCATCGGACCCCGTGTTCACACATTACTTGCAGAAATCCGTTACCTTCGAAGGTACAATTAAGGTTGTCCGGAATTTAACGCCTTGTCTTTTTCCATTTGCCCACCAATTCGCAAACCCTTCAAGGGTAGATGTAAAGTAAACCCGAGATTAAGAATTCCACCACGAGTTTTGCGGACTGACCTCCAGCAACGTACCTGCCCGCAACAAACGCAGGTCTGGTTCATCGTTGTGCCGCCCGACGGATCAAGTGCACCTGTGTGAATACTGGCTGAAGCGAACATTGTAGCTCGCCACAAGGATAGAATGGTTCTCAGTCGAAAGGGCGATGTGTTTCGTCTTCTTGACAGCCTGAGGGGGGCCGTTTGGAGGGGACCGCTTTTTAGAAGCTTCTACTTGTCTATCTTTCGCGGTTGCTTCGGCGACATATGTGGTAGATCTTGTGGTGCTTTGATCCGCTGATGGACTCTGGGCAGATGAAGTGAAAGGGGCGTCCATGACGCAAACCGGTACGACCCGTGCCGTCTGAGACTCGTTTGTGCTGGTGAAAGAGCGGAAAACCCACCTCGTTTTCCTTCAAGACGGGTCGATCCGGCACTTCTGTGATCAGGCGGATGTGAAACTGGTGGAAAACTCACATGCCCCCAGTTTTCGGTATGCTGTGAGTTTCACCAAACGCGTTGTCTGAAAACCCTGCATTTAGAAAATCCGAGCAAACACGCCGCCAAAACACGCGTTTTCGTGACTTCACGGACAACCTTACTAAATCGAAACTGTATAAATTCAGTTTGGACAAATGCACTCTCCTGTATATTAAATTGCATGATGCAACTCTGCTTGGAGAGTTGACATTTGATCCCCCATTTTTTTATATTGTCTGGGCGACCACCTGGGCGACCACCAGTCACTAATACGGCCTTTCTATCACCACAATCCCTTAGAACTTTATTCAGTGAGCAAGCATCTACATCAGTATTGTTACCCTTGATTCAGCAGAACTGGACTACGACGGCTAAAAAATAAACACAACATTGACAGTCGGGCTTGTTTAACAACAGGTGTTTTTCGGTGTCAAAAAGCAATGAGATATATTGATCGAAGGCGGTGAACTAATCACGGAGGGAAGCACCTGCTGCTGCTCCATCTTCCTCGGGCGCTTACCTTGCGCTTACTTTGTTCCCCCACTGGTGCCCCTGCCCCTTCTCTTGCATATGCAGGAGATTACTATTCTCCCTCCAACAGATTTCTTCGGTCGACACTTCGAGGCACCCACTATAATCCGTTGTCTTCTCTGACGATCAGTACCATCCATGTATGACTCATCTTTCACAGCTGTTAGTGGTATCTCCACTTCTACCATGTTATTCATCATTAGCTCCACCTTCCTTCCGGTTAAAACGGCCCTCGACAACTTTCCATTTTTCAATCTGCATTCGATCCTGTAATTCGATTTACGAAGTGGTGCTCTTTCGCTTGACGGAACTGGCCTCACAACCAGGGCTACCTTTGGCCCAACTCGCCACAACACTTCGAGAGCTGCGATAATGTTACCCTGTTTGTTTGGTAGAAAACGTCTGCTTTGTCGTACCCTGCTTTCCACGTACGTCGTAGGGGACGTCAATTCCTCCTCCGCCCCGGATGTGAAGTCATCTCCTATTCCATTCAGCCCCTCCATGTACATTCGGAGACCGGATATTCTCACCTGCGGCTGCGTCGCACTTGCCCTTACCTCATCCGTTGTACTCCTATTGCACTCCTCTCCGGTGCAAGCGGAAGTCGCTAATCTTCTCCTCGCAATTCGTGTTTCTTTCTCCACTCTCTCAGGACTGCACTCTGCGAGCGTATTGAATACGGCATGTATCAGACGGAACCGTTGCACGTTTCCGTTTGAGTCTGTGAAGACGTCGCACTTTTTCCTCCATAGTTCAGGTTCGAGCTGTAAAAGGGAGGTGCAAAACGCTGCATCTCGACGCGTGAATCTGAGTCCTTCGAGATCTCGGGCTTCAGCACATAGGCAAGCACCAATATTTTGAATGTCATCTAAGACGCAGGGTAAGTTTGAGAGTTGTAATTTTCTGTCGCGAACCGCATTGTGTCTTGGTAGGGTCTTAGGCTCAACTTCTTCTACTGCGGCTTGATTGTCCTGGCTCGGGGGTCGTAGAAAGGCTAGCGGCCCACTCTCAAACATGCTCTGGATGTCGAAGCGCCATGCCTGGGCGTGGAATGCATATGCAAGGACGAGGAGAGCTGAAGTAAACCTCATCTTTTTGCCGGTATGGAGAAGGGGACCGCATACCCCTTGCTTGACCCAGTCTAGAATGGGACACACCGTGACCGGTAGGCACGGAGAGCATTAAGTATTGAATAGTCTAGAACGCTGCTTCATTGTACCGTGCTGGGTGAGGATAGTATGGCCATATGTTTCGAACTGGTTCTCGCAGTCTGGTCTCTCGAGACTTGTGTCGCGGAAGAGCGTGGGTGTTCATACTGGGTGGAAAACACTAGATAGGAAGCAGAGAACAGTTGGACGGGGTAGCATGTGTGGTCGCAAGTTGATATGTAGGAAGACCGGGACTGTATGGCCACGAACATCCGGTCATGACAATGAATGGGCGTTGTCTCCGATGAAAGGCTGGGAAACTCATGTTGGAAACTACAGTCGTTGGACATGCAGATGGATACATGCGTTGGTCGGGGTGCCTAGTGCAGACCCAATTCGAGTTGCTCCCTTCGCTAATAATACGGTATTGCCACAGTGATAGCTGATGGGTAATAGCTGGACAGTAGTGCTAATGCATAGTCTCTCAAGATATCAAAATGCTTAACGAGGAGCAAAATGCTTAGCGAGGAGAGATCTACCTCGGTGCAAATCATCTTTAATTCGGTCTGTAGTTCTATAAAAGCCCAGGTCTCCAGGAGGGAGAAGAGCCTCGATGGAACAGCATCGTTCCTGGGGGTTTCTTTTCGTCAGATCGGAGTGTCTACACAAGCGACAGTTAAAGAGATATGCACTCATCTCGCAAACGCGTCGAAAAACGAGACGCAAAAAATAAAAGGACAGTCGCGATCTCTTCCCTCGCAAGACAAGGAGTTTGGTCCAAACCTCGCATTAATAGTGTCCTTAGCCCTCCTATGAAATGGTCTTCGCGCGTGCGTAAGGCGCTAAATAGTGTATTTCGGACAACGGTGTTGGTGGCGTCCGCTTTACTCCCCGGTATGTGCAATATTCGCAATAATTATACGCTACTTATG